TTTATTTCATTTTCCCATAAACAGAAAGGGAGTAAAACATTTTTTTAATTATTAAACAGTCTTTCCCGCATGTAATTTCCTTTCCCCTATGGAACGAACATACGCCCAGTTTTATAACATGGCAGCCCAATTGTATATTCTGGTTTCATTCGCGACCGCGACTCTCTCAAATGTGTGCCGTGAGGGGCCGCAAACTGGTCGTTTAAACTAGTATATGGCTTGTCGGAAATCCCCTATTTTTCCCGGNTCACACGCTCTAGCCTGGAACATTTACGGGGGCATCCAAGAAAACTCTTCAAACACCGGCCCAGAACTTTCATTCGCTCCAAATTCTTCATGTACAGGGTCATCTCAGAATGGAACAAACTTCACAATAGATTGTGACCTCCTCCTCCAAAAGGGTTTTCAAAACCCCGCTAGACTCACACCTAGGGCTTACCATCCCCTTGACCTAACTGGCCTCCATCTTCTGAAGGACACCCCTACTTTCTCCTGCTTGACTATGTAACCTCTCTCTCCTTTCCCGATGCATGCAACCTTAACCCAGCGGCATTGTATTGTAGCCAGCTCCCTTTTCCATTAACCATCTTTTCAGCTCGTGCACCGAACTGCAGAAAGAAGGACAGAACCGCGACTAGTGGGCGCAAGCCTCGAATTCGAGTACTACTTCAAGACATCATGTGCAGATATCGATTTTGTAACACTCGACTGTTATAAAAAACGACAACCGATATCCTGATGCCCTTCTCACACAGCGTCGCTCTTTCCTCTCCAAGTAACCTCCGCCATTCGTACTTTGTGCCCCATCCATGAGGCCAAAGATCGTTTGCCCCTAAACCCGCACCACATTGAATGACCAATGGTTTACGTTTTAAAAATTGAGCTGTACCCATGACGTTCAAAATTCACGTAATTACATGTGAAAACGATCCACCACGTTACGTACTACGTCATGAGAATAACTGTCAAAGGCGAATTACAGAAACTTTTTTATTGAAAGGTAAACTAGTGCACTGCTCATGGGCAGAAAAGCGTGCCGAATTCGCAGCCCGGGATCAATGGAATCGTATATTTGCTAACAGGGTATTGTTGCTTGCTTGTAAAGGCGTCTATATCCGGACTTTGATTGTTTTATGTCCAGATGTTATCCTGTACCATCAGAATCGAACGAATTCGGACAGTTTTAGGCGATACGATACAATTAGTTAGATGAAAAGTGTGCCGGTAGACTATTTTGCTAGTTCTTCCTCTTGATAAAGCAAAAAAGCAGATCACTGCAGCAAGAGGAGAGAAACACGACACGTTTCCTGAACAAAGTCAAAAAAGAGGGCTAAAATTGACGAGTTTTCCTATTTTCCTCAGCATCGAGAAACTCAATTGAGGTCCTAAATTAATTTAATGATGCTTGTTACTTCCTCAGAGAGCGTACACCATTAGGGTCACTGCTGTCTATTCTGAGTCTCTGACCAACAATAACACTCATATTTTGAGGGTAACTTGGAGGGCGGGGTCGGAAAGCTAACTAATCCATATCCCTAAGCCATATTTTTATTAATCCTCCTTAGATTAGCAAATGCAGAGGTACACGATGGCTCGGGAGAGCAGAGCTGTATGCCACCGAGCGCGTCCCCAGGTCGCGGATAGGAGAACGGCCGTCATCTCGCGGCAAACCGTGAATAACGTGGGCCTCGGCCTTCCGAATAAGCGGAAGCGGACGATCAGCGGCACCGCTCGAGGATGTGGTGGGTTTACCCCTGGCAAGGGTTCTCCACACAAAACACCACACATATCCGTGGACAGCGCTGCGACGTGACGAGTGTGGCCCGCAACCAAATATGGCCATTGCTCCTTGCCGCGATCCATTGCTCAATAAGGTTTTCCAGAAGAGGCGGAGACTGGCCACCGGCTCATCTGAAACATTACTGCTGCCTTATAGTCCGAGCTTGGTTGCTTAAAGGCTGGAGTGCATCCCCGAACAGGGCCTACTCTGGACCGGGCGACCAGTACAATAGCCCGCAATGCATACAACCATGAACCTGCAAAAAGCATTCTACACCGTACACACCCTTTTGATCTCCCAGCTCATCTCTACCTTCCCAACACTCCCCATCTCTCTCTCGGGTGCTTCGGGCGATCGTGTTAACCGTAGTGCCTCTGGCGGAAATTCTGCCGCTGTTCACTCTTGTCCTACCTCGATTAGCATCCAAGTGTCACCAAATCCTCCACCAGCTGAAGCCCTTCTCCGCCCTCGATGTCCCTTCAAACTAGCCACGTTTAATGTGCGTACTCTGATGCGTACAGGACAACAGGCGTGTTTAGCTCGTACGCTCGAAACCCTAACCATCGATGTGTGCTGCATTCAAGAAACTCGAATTCAAGACTCCAGCTCCATTATCCGATTGACGTCCCCATCAAACCAATCTGTGAAAATTTCACTTACGCCTCTATAGGGACCCTGAGGCTGCGGCTTCCGGTCTCGCTGGCGTCGGCGTAGCTCTCAGTGAGAGAGCTGAGGCCGCCCTCATGGATTGGATCCCGGTCGACAGTAGGTTGTGCTCAGTGAGATTCGGAGGTTCGTGCAAGAAGATAAACAAAACTTGTTTGTCGGATCGGCGTAGGATCCAAAAGACTGCGCCCAGATGCAGTCAAAGATGAATTCCACCGCAATGGATGGATGTCCAAAAAATGAATCTGGTGCTACGTGTATATATATNATAAGCAGCAGTCGCCGCGATAGACGAAAGTTGTTTGTCGTTTCGACGTACGCTTCAACGGACTGCAGCCCAGATGCAGTCAAAGATTAATTTTACCACAATCTTCACGACCTCCTGTGTAAAGCGACCCGGGCTTACATCGTGATTTTAGCAGTAGATATGAATGCTAGAGTAGGCCGGTTGACTTTGAGTTGATAAGCACCTGGGAGGTCCTTTCCTGTCGCTCGGAAAACGGGGAACGGTTGTTGGCTCTCTGTTCCGACCACCGCCTATTCCTCATTAGTACGAACTTCAGACGCTCCAACTGCCGGCACGCCACCTGGCGTCCGCCCTCCTCGAGTCGGTGACGGACACAGATCGACCACATCGCTATAAGCCACAAATGGCGGGGCTGAATTCAAGACTGGCAATCGTACTGGAGCACTCCCTTCGAATCCGACCACGCATCAGTATGTACGAAGCTGCCCATGTGCTTCG